TGTGAGTTTTCTGGGGCTGTATAGCCATGTTCCAGAAGCATTATCTCCTGACGTTTCCTCAGAAGTTGAGTGGTCTGTTGGAAACTAGGCAAGTGAGGTTTATATATCTGTGGAAAGTCCAGGGTGGGAGAAAGAGCTCTAGTCTGCTGGAGGCAAGTGTGAATGCTCAATTGGCCACCCTGATTAGCATTGAATAGCCTTGAATCTTCAAAGACTAGCTAATTGCTGCTTGGGGTAATCCTTTGTTGGGAGGTGTTAGTTTACCCAGATTGATTGTTGTCTGCTTTTTGAGCAGTGCCATAGAAGAGCCAACCTGGACACAGCCAACCTGGACACAGCATATTATTTGAGAACACCGAAATGCTGGACCACGCTAACAACTACCATGTCAGACTACACAGAAAAGCCGTTGAAATCCACAAGCATATGGACAATATCAACAGATTGGAGAAAACCATGAAAATGAACAAAACCTGACTACCAGTATTAAAAAAAAACTTCAAAATCAGGACAGTAAATAAAGAACAATGCTCAGAAAACAGGGGAATTACAGAGAAGAAACAATCAGGGCCAGCTAACATCTCCCAACAAAGGATGCCTCCAGGCAGGAAGCAGCCTGGCATTGAAGCTGCATTCAATGCTTATCAAGGTGGCCAGTTGCAACATTCACACCTGCCTCGGAGAAGAGTTTCTCAAGTTGCTCCTGACACACACAAAAATACTATGGGACCTGTAGTTTTACAAGATCTCTAGACTCCTCTTCCAAAGTGTGCTGGTGCAGTAAAGACTGCAATAACTTCACGGTGTAGATGACCATCCTTTGTTGGGGCTCCAACCAGTGAAGGAGGGAGGACCAAGTGCCTGCAAAGGGGGCGGGGCCTCCGGCGTGGCTCAAGGTCCGGAGGAGCGCGTGATTGGCTGTCGCGGCGGCAGGAAAGGCCTATCGCGCAGGTTGCCAGCAGGGCGCGCGCTTAGCCAGCCCCGCCTCCTCGCTCCCTCGGCACCTGCGAAGCTTTACCTTCTTGAAACCAGGCGAAGAGTTGTGCGCATGCGCGTGGCTTTTCACAGGGAGGTGGGAGGAAGCATCTGCAGATTGATACACTACACTCCCATAGTGATTGATAATTTTTTTGTTGGAAATTTATTAAACATAGGCCTTATACCCCATAGTAAACCAATAAGCTCAGTATTGACTTGTTCTGAGACGAGAGTGAAGAGGGGCAGCCAGGAAAACATAGTTCCATCATGTCTCCTGCAACATCAGTTGGGAACCCCTCAATATATACAATATAATAATATATAGACTTAATAACATTGTAACATAATACTTTATATATAGTGTTGTAATATAATCTATAATAGATAGTTGTGTCAGGAGCGACTTGAGAAACTGCAAGTTGCATCTGGTGTGAGAGAATTGGCTGTCTGCAAGGATGTTGCCCAGGGGATGTCTGGATGTTTTGATGTTTTATCATCCTTGAGGGAGGCTACTCTCATGTCTCCGCATGAGGAGCTGGAGCTGAAAGAGGGAGCTCATCCACGCTCTCCCTGGATTCAAACCTGCAACTTGTCGGTCTTCAGTCCTGCCAGCACAGGGGTTTAACCCACTGCATCATTGATATAGTACAATGTATTATAATGCTAATAGCATAATATACTAGTAGTGTGCTATATAGATTGTGGTATAATAATAATAATATATAATGCTTATATATTATATGAGCAATAATATTGTAGTGTAGTAGTGTTGTTGTTCATTCGTTCAGTCATTTCTGACTCTTCATGACCTCATGGACCAGCCCACACCAGAGCTCCCTGTTGGCCGTCACCACCCCAGCTCCTTCAGAGTCAAGCCAGTCACTTCAAGGATACCATCCATCCATCTTGCCCTTGGTCGGCCCCTCTTCCTTTTTCCTTCCATTTTCCCAGCATCATTGTCTTCTCTAAGCTTTCCTGTCTTCTCATGATGTGGCCAAAGTACTTTATCTTTGCCTCTAATATCCTTCCCTCCAGGGGGGGGGGCTGTGAGTTTGGTTCGGGGGGGGGCTGAGTGAGTGAAAGAGGGTCTACCCTAGCAAACCTTTTGTATCGTTACCCCAATACCCCATGCATATGGGATATATTGAGCATGGTGATCAGATCATGATATGAATAAACATAACAGTTTAAATAATGTACCAGTAAGGCCTTCTCGCGGACCACCATGAGAATTTCGGGGGGGGGATAAAGCCCCCCCCCCCCCCCCCCGGCTACATGCCTGTTGGCTCTACTATCCTTCCCTCCAATGAGCACTGGGGCTTTATTTCCTGAAGTATGGACTGGTTGGATCTTCTCACAGTCCAAGGCACTCTCAGAACTTTCCTCCAACACTATAGTTCAAAAACGCCTCTCTTCCTTTGCTCAGCCTTCCTTATGGTCCAGCTCTCACATTCATAGGTTACTACTGGGAATACAATTGCTTTAATTATGCGGATCTTCGTTGCCAGTGTGATGTCTCTACTCTTCACTATTTTATTGAGATTGGTCATTGCTCTCCACCCGAGAAATAAACAACTTCTGATTTCCTGGCTGCAGTCTGCGTCTGCAGTAATTTTTGTGCCTAGCAGTACAAAGTCTGTCACAGCCTCCATGTTTTCTCCCTCTATTTGCCAGTTATCAATCAATCCAGCTGTCAGAATCTTGGTTTTGTTTATGTTTAACTGCAACCCAGCTTTTGCACTTTCACCTTGATTAGAAGGCTCCTCAGCTTCTCGCTTTTGGCCATCAAAGTGGTATCATCTGCATATCTAAGCTTGTTAATGTTTCTTCCAGCAATTTTAACTCCAGCCTTGCATTCATCAAGCCCCGCACATCGCATGATGTGTTCTGCATACAAGTTGAATAGGTTGGGTGAGAGTATGCAACCCTGCTGTACGCCTTTCACAATCTTGGACCAGTCTATTGTTCCATGGTCAGTTCTTACTGTTGCTACTTGGTCCTTGTACAGATTCTTCAGGAGACAGACAAGGTGACTTACGATCCCCATACCACCAAGAACTTGGCACAATAGTAGTATAGTACAATATAACAATATCAATATTGTGCTATGCTAATAATATACTATATATACATATAATAATATTGTTATTGTAATAATGTAATACAATATAGAACACAATATTATAGATATATTTGTAATATAATAATACTGATATATTAAATATACTGCTGATAATATATAATAATATATATTATATATAATATGACTAATAATATTGCAGTATAGTAGTATAGTACAATATAAAATATATAATAATAATATTGTGCTATGCTAATAGTACAATATATTATATCTACATATAATATGACTAATAATATTATAATGCAATACATTATAAAATTATTAGTATTATATGTATACATCTGTTATATCATTAGCATAGCACAATATTAGTATTATATGTTTTTATATTGTACTATACTGCTATATTGCAATATTATTAGTCATATTATAATGTAATACATTATAATAGTACAATATAATATTGTAATATAATACTAAATATAATACTGCAGATAATATATAAGAATATATAATAAAATAATAATTATATATATTATATAATATGACATAATATTGCAGTATAGTACAATATAATAATATAGAATACTAATATTGTGTTATTCTAATGTATAATATATATACACATATTCATATTATAATATAATACAATATAATATTGTAATATAACAATACTAATCTATTAAATACAATACTGTGGATAATAATATAATAATACATAATGATAATACTGTTTCATTATTGTATATTAGTAAAAATTTGATATTTTAATTTAGTATAATAATACTAGTAATATAATATATAATATTGTAATATAATAATACTACAATATTAAATACAATACTATCAATAACAATATAATAATATATAATACTGTTTCATTATTGTATGTTAGTAAAAAATTGATATTTTAATTGTTTAGTATAGTAATACTAGTAATATAATATATAATATTGTAATATAGCAAGACTAATATATTAAATGCAATACTGTGGACAATAATATAATAATATATAATGATAATACTGTTTCATTATTGTATATTAGTAAAAATGATATTTTAATTGTTTAATATAATACAAGTAATATAATATATAATATTGTAATATAGCAAGACTAATATATTAAATGCAATATTGTGGACAATAATATAATAATATATAATGATAATACTGTTTCATTATTGTATATTAGTAAAAATGATATTTTAATTGTTTAATATAATACAAGTAATATAATATATAATATTGTAATATAGCAATACTAATATATTAAATGCAATACTGTGGACAATAATATAATAATATATAATGATAATACTGTTTCATTATTGTATATTAGTAAAAATTTGATATTTTAATTGTTTAGTATAATAATATTGTAATATAACAATACTAATATATTAAATACAATACTGTGGATAATAATATAATATATAATGATAATACTGTTTCATTATTGTATATTAGTAAAAATTTGATATTTTAATTGTTTAGTATAATAATACTAGTAATATAATATAACAATACTAATATATTAAATACAATACTGTGGATAATATTTTTTGTCGTGTCAGGAGCGACTTGAGAAACTGCAAGCCACTTCTATATATAATAATATATAATGATACTGTTTTATTTTTGTATATTAGTAAAAATTGATATTTTAATTGTTTTTTAAAATATTTTTTAATTTCAATTAACAATTTTTTAAATTGAGAGCCACTTTGAGTCTCCGTATGGAGAGATGAGGCGGGATATCAATAAATAAGTAAATAAATAATATTAATATTGAAATAGAGGAATTAAAAGCCTATGAAGATGTCTTGGACTCCTGCTATAGTGTGGTTATGTCACTCAGGGAGGCGGTGAGAGCTGGGCGGCGGCAGCAGCAGCGAAGGAGAAGAGCTCTTCTGCGCATGCTCGCCTGGGGGCGCTGTTGCCTCCTCCTTGGTCTGAGTGAGGCCAGCCTTCCAGGAGGTCTTGCTTGTGCAGGTTGCTCCTCCTCGGTCCTGTGCGGCGCGAGGCCGGGCGGAGCCTGTCTCTGCCTTCCAGCGGAGGCTGCTGCTTGCTTCTCTCCCTCTGAGGTCACCTCTCCTTCGGGAAAGCGCTGGAGAAGCCAGGCATGCTGGTGCTGCTCCTCCTCCTCCCTTTCCCCCCGATGCTGCTGGCTTCAGCCGCTCCCCGCGGTCTTGGTGTGGTTTAAGAGCCCCCAGAGGAGCCTCCACCACCGCCGCCGCCTTTGTCTCGAGATGTGGGTGAACCCGGAGGAGGTGCTGCTGGCCAACGCGCTGTGGATCACGGAGCGAGCCAACCCTTACTTCATCCTGCAGAGGAGGAAGGGCCACGGGGGCGAGGGAGGCAGCGGAGGCATCACGGGTAAGGACTACTCAGGGGGGAGCTTGCTCTGTCGCTTGGGGGGTCCATCAATGCAGGTTGGCCCCTACTAGGGGATCAAGGGGGTGGCAGTTTGGGAAGAGGAAGCTAAAGGGTACCATCACACCTCCCTTGATTGCAAAGCATTGAGTCCAGTGGCACACAAAGCAGGGCACTCATTCTACAGTGTAGACTAGGCATGGGCCAACTTGGGCCCTCGAGGCGCTTTGGACTTCAACTCCTACCATTCCTAACAGCCTCAGGCCCCTTCCTTTTCCCCCCTCAGCCACTTAAGCGGCTGAGGGGGAAAAGGAAGGGGCCTGAGGCTGTTAGGAATGGTGCGAGTTGAAGTCCAAAGCGCCTGGAGGGCCCAAGTTGGCCCATGCCTGCTGTAGACGCACCCCGTGACACTATCAATGCTACTCTCATCTGAGATGCAAATATACCTGTTGCAGAAGCATCCCTTGCACCAAACCCTGTTCCTAGGGACTCTTCCACACAGCCCTATATCCCAGAATATCAAGGCAGAAAATCCCACAACATCTGCTTTGAACTGGGTTATCTGTGTCCACACTCAGATAATATGGGATTTTCTGCCTTGATATTCTGGGTTATAGGGCTGTGTGGAAGGGCCCTCTGGCTTGGTGCAAGCTTTGTATCCCAACTAGGTCTCCCTATCAGCCGTACTCCTTGATTTCCCACATTCCCACTGATTTAATGGACAGCAAAGGTTGTGTTTAACTCCTTGCATCTGATCGCTTGAGCGGTACAATCCCAAACGGCCGTTTATTTACAAAATGCATCATTGGTAACTTGCTTGGTAGTGTCTCATCACCGTTCTGTCACAATCCTATCACATCTGGTATATTGGCCATACTGCTTCTGAGCTTGGAAGGTCATCCTGGCCAACACACATTTTGTTAGACACCGAGAACTGGGAAGCCCTGGCCCTTGGGCACTCCAGTTGGAGGTCAGCTGTGACACCGAAATACAACACCAAATGGACACCGAAATAAAACACCGCCTGAGCTCTGCGAGTGCAGCATTTTTCTGAATGAAGCAGAGAGTGTTCGAGGACCAGGACATCCGTAGGGATACTAAGGTGCTTGTTTATACAGCTATTGTCCTCCCAACCCTGCTATATGCCTGCAAAACGTGGACTGTCTACAGACATCACATGCAACTCCTGGAACGATTCCATCAGTACTGCCTCCGGAAAATCCTGCAAATCACTTGGGAAGACAGGCAGACAAATGTCAGCGTGCTGGAAGAAGCAAAGACCACCAGCATTGAAGCAATGGTCCTCCGCCATCAGCTCCACTGGACCGGCCACGTTGTCTGGATGCCCGACCACCGTCTCCCAAAGCAGTTGCTCTACTCTGAACTCAAGAACAGAAAACGGAATGTTGGTGGATAGGAAAAGAGATTTAAAGATGGGCTCAAAGCCAACCTTAAAAACTCTGGCATAGACACTGAGAACTGGGAAGCCCTGGCCCTTGAACACTCCAGGTGGAGGTCAGCTGTGACCAGCAGTGCTGCAGAATTTGAAGAGGCATGAATGGAAGGTGAAAGAGATAAACGTGCGAAGAGGAAGGCGTGTCAAGCCAACCTTGACTGAGATCGCCTTCCACCTGGAAACCAATGCCCTCAGTGCAGGAGAAGATGCAGGTCAAGAATAGGGCTCCACAGTCACCTACGGACCCACAAGAATACTGATCCTGGAAGGCTATCCTACTCGGCCAACAAGGGATCGCCTAAGTAAGGTCAGCTGTGACCAGCAGTGCTGTAGAATTTAAAGAGGAACGAATGGAGGGCGAAAGAGAGAGATGTGCTACAAGGAAGGTGCAGCAAGCCAACCCTGCCGAGGACCACCTTCCACCTGGAAACCAATGCCCTCACTGCGGGAGAACATGCAGGTCAAGAATAGGGCTCCACAGTCACCTACGTACGTACCCATCTCCAGGACACCGCACTTGGAGGACAATCTTACTCGGACATCGAGGGATCACCTAAGTAAGTAAGTTTAGCCCTGTTTCTGGGTATAACTGAGGCCCCTACCACACAGTTGAATAAAATCCCACACTGTGTGCTGGGATATATATGGCAGTGTGGACTCTGATATTCCAGTTCAAAGCAGATATTTTTGTTTTTCTGCCTTGATTTTTCTGGGTTCTATGGCTGTGTGGAAGGGCCCTGAGTTGCTGATTCCAAAAATGCACCAGTCTCTCTCTCCTCCTCCTATCAGCTCTAGCTTTTGAGATTTTGCCATCTACCAGTTGTCCACTGAAAATCATGATCACCATAATCTCAAGACCCTTCCACACTTGAATAAAATCCCACAATATCTGCTTTGAACTGGAACATATGGCAGTGTGATAACCCAGGGCCCTTCCACGCAGCCCTGTATCCCAGAATATCAAGGCAGAAAATCCCACAACATGTGCTTTGAACTGGGTTATCTGTGTCCACACTCAGATCATGTGGGATTTTCTGCCTTGATATTCTGGGATATAGGGCTGTGTGGAAGGACCCTTGGTGGCTTGATTTTTAGCCCTGTCCCTGGGGCTATTTGGGGTGCAAAAGACTCAAAATATTGCATTGGATAGACCACATCAGCTGTAGTGTCCTAGGACCCTTCCACACAACCATATAACCCAGAATATCAAGGCTGAATATCCCACAATATCTGCTTTGAACTGGGTTATCCTGAGTCCACTCTCAGATAATTTGGGATTTCCTGCCTTGATATTCTGGGATACAGGGCTATGTGGAAAGGCCCTATGTCCACAATGCCACATATTTCAGTTCAAAGTGGATGATGTGGAATTTTATTCAGCTGTGTCAAAAGGGGCTAAGAAAAAATGTTTTTGTTGGCTATTCTTTGCTTTATATTTCCCCCCATCTTCTGCTGTAGATTAAGGGCCCTTCCCCACAGCCATATAACCCAGAATATGAAGGCAGAAAATGCCACAATATCTGATTTGGCCTGGGTTATCTGAGTCCACATTGCCATATTTTCCAGTTCAAACCAGATAATGTGAGGTTTTATTCAGCTGTGTGGAAGAGCCTTAAGAGGCATCTGGAGGATTGAAATTCTTTGAAAATTCAGGAAAGACATTGAGATTTTAATAGTATTGTTGATTACACAGAGAAGCCATGTAGGCTGCATTGTCATTATTAATTGCTATTATTAATATTGGAATAAAACCCCATTGACTCATTGAGATGTATTCCCACGCAATGTATCATGGCTGATTTGGGTTCTTGGAGTGCAGTACAGTATTTTCTTTGTAATTTATCTTCTGCGAAGGTTGGTTGTTGATCACCTTACTGTAAACATGCTGTCCCTGGAAAGAAATAGAGTAACCTGCCTGAGGTCACAGCTGTGTCCCTAGAGTTCGGGAATGGCAGGTCTTGCAAGTACATTCGTTAACTGGAACAATTGCTTCTGTCTCCTGTCAAAACAAAACCAGTTGGAGACCATCTGGCTCTTCAAAGCTAGAAAGGGCATTTCATCTTCTGTGTTGCTATAGCAGTTTAATGTCTGGGTTGCTGTGAGTTTTCCAAGCTGTCTGGTCATGTTCCAGAAGCATTCTCTCCTGACATTTCGCCCACATCTATGGCAGGCCTCCTCAGAGGTTGTAAGGTCTGTTGAAAAGTAGTCAAGTGGGGCTTATATATCTGTGGGATGTCGAGGGTGGGAGAAAGAACGCTTGTCTGCTTGGGATAAGTGTGTGAATGTTGCAATTGTCCACCTTGATTAGCATTAAATAGCCTTGTAACTTCAAAGCCTGGCTGATTGCTGTCTGGGGGAATCCTTTGTTGGGAGGTGTTAGCTGGCCCTTATTGATGCTCATCTGAAATTCCCCCTTTTTAGTGTTGCTCATTATTTACTGTTATGAAAGGCACTGCAGATTAATTCAACCAGAGAAGTCAGCCACAGCAAATCACCTGATGAACAAACCCGGACATGAAAATGAACAAAATCTGGCTACTAGTATTAAAAAACTGTAAAATCAGGACAGTAAATAAAGAACAACATTCAGAAAACAGGGGACTTAGATGTGGGCAAAACATTAAGAGAGAATGCTTCTGGAACATGGCCATACAGTTCAGAAAACTTGTAGCAACCCAGTGATTCAAGCCAAGAAAGACTTCAACAACACAGTTTTATATCTAGTTTGAATAAAAAAGATGGGGAACACTGAGACTTAAATACAGTTGTTGCAACTAGAGTAGAGCCAACTAGGGTATACCCACTGATTTATTTTATTTGTTATTTATTTACTGCTAGAATTCACTTTTCTTCCAAGATGGTTGACCCACGATTTAATTGTTGATTCTGTGGATATGTTTTATTTGCAGCTTGCAACTGAATTTGGGTTTTTGTCTATAGTTACTGTTAGACATGTCATCTTTTTGCTGCTTGCCCTGAACAGTCACATGGTGAAGAATTGTTTAGGCAAGAAAATGGAGTTTAGATCCTTCGGCTTTTGTACTATATTGACCTACATGATATAATTCAGGGTTGCTTCAGAATGGTAGGAGTGAAAGTCTGGCAGTGATTTTATGAAATGCAATGCCTTATTTACGCTTAAAGGGTGTGAGTGAGCCTCAAAGAATGGTAATACTATTAAAGTGTTATTAATTTAGGTTTGTTTGGAAGTTTCTGAGATGTATCTGTTTTCTGGTGATCTCCCTATCTTGGAATATTTGGAGTGAAACAGTTCTGGAAAGTTGTTGCAGGGACGTGTTTCGTTATCCATCACGGTTGTACTTCCTTTACAAAAATTCACACATTTTCCTTCAACTCTATTCTTTGGTCACACTGAATTGTCTGTTGTGCTGTCATTCCCATGGGTTATTCCCAGACTGGAAAGCACAGAGATGAATCAGAAATGCCTCTACAACTTCTGCTTCCCCTTTCCTTTGTGATCTGTCAGATTGATAAATTATATGCAAAGTTGGAAGATAGTAGTGAAATTAACACAGGTTTCTGAAAA